GGGAAGTTGAAAAACTGAGCAGAGTTCACAGCAAAACCTGGAAAGCAATACAAAGACTGGTGAAAATGTCTTGCCATGAGAGCTTTAAAGAGATCAGTTTGTTAACTTACCCAGAAAGAAAGACTTTGTGTTCACTAGACTACAGTCTAGATATATCTTCCCAAGAAGAAGGTACCAAGACTGCATCGAAGAATAAAGGAAAGCATCAGAACTGATGGCCACAATGTGGACGCAGTCTAAGTCATACAGAGAATTAACACCCATGTTCATAACAGGGAGGGGGAATGCATAGGGAAAGAGAAGTTATTTGTCTCTTGATTCCTTCAGATCAGAACTTGGTGCCTTCCCTAAAGACAGCTTTTTAGTTAAATGCAAGTTATTTGGCTGAAGTCTGGGTAGCTGCTTGCGATATATAGAAATGCACATTCCTACGGACTGCCAAAACATGTGACAGATGCCTAGAAACAAACCGCTGAGTTTTTAAGTGCTTGTGAGTGGAGACATTCCTCACTCTGCAGCCTTTGGGGGAGCTACAGAGAGAACATTTCATACCAAAAAGCAGTTCTGATCATTTATTAAGAATACACCAGCGCAGATTCTCAGGCCCCAGTGTTTAAAAAATGGCATTATTGGTATGTGTCTTACCTAGACTAAAAGATTTCAGGACTGACCTCGGTCATCTCTTCTCTGTTTTTTTTTGCTTTGGTTTGAGTGCTCGCTCCTGCTGCTGTCCCTGCAGCCCTGTCGTGGAACCATGCTGAGAACAGGATCTGGGCACCGATCTGGGTGAAAGGCAATCTGCATGCACACACCAATACTACAATAACTAAGGAGAATATTTTTTTTTCCATGGATTATTTTTAACCTGGTCCTGCTCACTGCTCCAGTTCCCGGCCTGCAAACAGCTTTGTCAGCAGTGCCAGGGCTGGGCAGAGCAGAAAATCCTAAAGCCAGCACTGCCTCGGGGGCACACAGATGCTGAGGCTGATGCTGCCATGGGAGAGGTCCTGCTTTCCTCATCTCCTCTGACAGCAGTCCCACCACCACTTTGCTGGTGTCGGCACTCACCTGGCTAGCTTTCTGCAGGGTCAGCCAGCCCGTTCAAAGAGGACGGTAGTGCCAGTATGAGGGACCGGTCCTGCTGGAGCAGCTCTCCCTACCTGCAGCATCGCTCCAGTTTTGACAAAACCACAGCTCCAAATTCCCATACAGCTCTACAGTGCTCCCAGAGAGGGCTCCCTGGCTCCATGCACAGATCTAAATCCCAGGCAGGATCATGCCACCCTGCTCACTGTCCCTGTCAATGCCTCGTCCTCCTCTCTTAGGTTACATGGCCTCCAGGTGAGCAGGCTTGGGTGGGCTCTCAAGGTGGGCTCAGCAGATGGTGGCACAACTGCCAGGGACCAGAGGAAAGAAAAAATTGGAGGGGGTTGCACCTATCAGTCTGAACTGAGATCAGCGACCTGGCAGCTTCTTGCTTTGCTGTTGAACTCAGCAGGATTTAGTGGCCTCCCAGGGGCCTGTTCATCAGGCTTAACCTGGAGTCATTCATAACAACCCTGCAGGGCACTGCATTTCCAACACATTCATACACCTCTGCCATTAATGGGGAAGACTCATACCAAAGAGAGGAAAAAGACGCAGCCCTGCTGGGTACGGGTGCAGTTCTCCACAGACACCTGCTTTCAAAGAGCTCTTCCCCACACCTCCTTCAGGGCCTCTCCCACCCTGCTGCGGTCCCTGGGAGGTAACTGCGAGTTTCTGGCTGGGTTTCCTTCTTAGTCACGTAATTTCCTTTTTCTGCCTTTTTTTTTGTTTTTGTGGGACTTTTTCAGATTTTCAAAGGGAAAAACCTCTATTCTGATTCTCCATCCAACAACCATTAGTGTAGAAGAGAAATGCCCTTAATTTTCGTGTGGCTTCTCCCTGCTGCTTCTAGAGCTAAAAGCTGGCTGGCAGACTCACCAAGCAGCTCATTTCGCACTTCATAAGAGCACCAACGTGACAGTCCTGACAATCCGAGTCCTTTCCATGTGAGGAAAAAGTGTTGTTTAGTTAATGGCAGCACAATTTTCCTTTCCTTTTTCCTTCCTCGAAGCCTGGAGAGCAGACGTGAGCCCCCTGCTATGGACACCATGTCCTGTGGTCACATAGCTATGTGATGGACACTGTATGTGGACTTCTAGAAGAAACTGAATGCTTTTCGGCCTCTCCCTGGGTCCCCTGTGGTTGACAGCCAGCAGGAGGAACCCCCCACCCAGCCTGGCATCCCCCCTCCTCACAGGGTGCCTAAAAACCCCGAGGGTTTTTAGGGAATTTTTAGGGAATGCTGTGGTGCACAGAACATCCAGCAGCTCGCGTGGCAGGGGTCAGACCTTCCAGCTGAAAGAGGTCCCCACCAGCTTACGGACATTTAAAACCAGTTGTTGACAAGCCAGATTCTGTTTTATCCACGTTTGTGCACAATATTTTTTACGCCATAGGCTAAAAGCTCGGTGTCAGTAAAGGAACCCTTTTGTCTCTCCGGGAGACCATCCAGCAGTTCATGAAGGAAGAGATCTGACAGTCTAAAACCGAAAAATTGACACCTAATTACCTCATTCCTAACTGACGTTGCCATTTATAATATTTTTATTTCCTGAGAGCGCAGCAGATGGAGGGGACTTGCGGTGGGTGGCAGAATGGGGTCTGAACACTAGTGAGTCCAGCAAGGAGAAGTGCCGATGCACATGAACGCAAAAATTAATCCTATGTCGTCTTAATGAGGGAGGGGGCAGTTTGCTGAAGAAGGGGGATGCCTTTCCGAGCCAAAAAGGTAGTTTTTTTTTCCAGAGATACCTCAGTCTGTGGTCCTTATGTGCCTAGTTTCTCAACAGAAAAGATGCAAAATCTTCTTTGCGGCGATTTTACTGCCTGACTATTAAACACATAGGGACACACTTTAAGACAAGAGAACTCCCTCCCAATAAATTAGCGTGCCCGTGTTTGCAAGGAGCCATAATAGCTGTTATTTATATTGTACTTAAATATTTAATTTTCTTTGTAAATAAAAGCTTTATGCCTCCCTTTGAGCCTGCTCTTACCGCCTTAGACTGCAACAGTTATGACAAAACTATTACTTCAAATTAACATGGCATTCAGCAGGCATTTGTATTACTTCCATGATTTTTATTGTGTTTTTAATTATTATTTTTTCTCGCAGTTCATTCATCAGTCATATTTACAAGCCCATTGTCCGCCTGGCTGCCAGCGGAGTGTTCTCATACATTTCAGCACATAGACAGAAACTGCAAACTAGAGCAGCTCTGCTAGGATCTCTAATATTTCTGAGGAGTCTGAAGGTGCTGACAGCTTATGGTATGCCTGTCCCAGGCAAGTGCAAGTGCCTCAAAGTCCATCTATCTGTGGTTACTGGTAAGGGTAAAATTACACAGCACGTTTACCCTTTGAGAAGGAATCCTCCCTGGAGAGGTTAGAAATGGGGAACAAAAAGCGTACCGCAGCTGGGGACCTGACAAACAGCACTCATTTAAACTTCAAAATAATCATCCGTGCTGCTGCTGTAAAGCAAGCTCGTTCTGCAGTTGTGTTGATTACTTTCCTCATTGTTTGGCCAGACAGTATCTTTAGCCAACTCGAGTCATATACCACGACCTGGTCCTGAAGTCCTGCCACCCCCAAGCCCTCAGTGACAGCACTGGAAGCAGCTCACGGGTGGCAGGAGCAGGCCTTGATTTTGCTGAGGTTGTGTCCTCGCTACTCTCCTTTCCACACCTCATCCCGTCCCTTTACAGCAGGATGGCAAGGATTAGGGAAGATCGGTATTTCTTGGGACTGCAGACAAGGGTATTTCTCAGGGCTGCAGAAAAAGGGAAGTAGCTCCGAGCACCGGAGCATGTACATTGCCACCACAGCCCTGTTCACATACAAGCTCATTGTCAACCAAAGGAACTGAAAAATTACGGCCATTTATCTATCCCTCGCTTTACCCCCCACTGTGCCTCTTTTGGCAAAGCAGCCAGGCAGTTCGCATTGTTTCAAGTTTAACGCTCGCAGATGGTTTTATTTAGAATTTGCTTTATTGGTGAGACATGTTTCCTCTCTTTATTAAATTATGCCTACTTTTTGTCAGTCATCACGCTGCCCATGATTTCTGCGCAGAGCTCGGGGGGCCGGGTCCTTCTTATTGCTGTCGGGTGGGTTGTGTTTTGTTGGCTGGTTTTATTTTGAGGTGGGGGGGGGGGGATTAGAAACGAATCCCTAGGCTCGCCTTTTGCCTTGCGGGGGGCAATGACACCCCGGCAGGACCAGGGGCACCCACAGCCCGCAGGAGCCCGCAGGAGCCCGCAGGAGCCCGCAGGAGCCCGCAGGAGCCCGCAGGAGCCCGCAGGAGCCCGCAGGAGCCCGCAGGAGCCCGCAGGAGCCCGCAGGAGCCCGCAGGAGCCCGCAGGAGCCCCCTCGCTGCGGCCGGGGGCCGCTCCCCCGCCTGTCCCCGAGCTCCCCGGGGGGGCGGCCCGGCGGGCCCGGCCCGGCGGCAGGTGGTGGCCGCGGCGGCGGGCGGGCAGCACGGGGGGGAGCCCGGCAGGGCACAGGACGGGACGGGGCCCCTCGGCCGCCGGCTCCTCCGTCCTTAAAAGCCCCCCCCGAGCCCCTGCCCGGCCGGGGCGGCTGCGGGCGAGCAGATCGCCGCCGGCTCGGCGCGGAACTCGCAGGCTCCGGAGCAGGAGGTGGGAATTGAGGGCGGTTTGGGTTTCCTCGCTTTATTTTTTTTTTCCTGCTTTGTGCATGTTTACTTTTTTTTTTTTTTTTTTCTTTTTTTTTTTTTTTCCCCCTTCTCGCTTCACCTCGGGCGCCAAGCACCGGGGCGGGCGTTCACAGGCGCGGCCCCGGGAGAGCCCCAGCGGGCCGGGCCGGGCCAAGCCAAGCCGGGCGGGCCGGCGGCGCCTCCCCCCGCCGGTTCGGGGGGTCCCCGGGCTCGGCCCCCGAACGCCCCTCTCTTCCGTTCTCCATGTCATTTCCTGTGCTAATAAGATGGTGGTCACGGCCGGGAGGGAGGGAGCCGCCGCCGCCTCCGCCGAGCCCGGCCCGGCCCCGGGACCTGTCCTCGCCTGCGCCTAGCGAGCGGGGCCGGCGGGGCGGCGGGGAGGCAGGGCGCAGCCAGCCGGGCCCCCCCACACCCCGGTGCGGAGCGGGCACCCCCCCCCCCGCCCCCGGGACGCCGAGGCGGGCCCCCCGCGCCCGCAGCGCCGAGGTGAGTCAGCCCCGCTGGTAGCCAAGGTGGCCACGAAAATGGCTGCGGGGGACGGCAGGGAGGGAGAGAGGAAGGGAGGGCAGCAGCGCGGGGGCCCCGCCCGGGGGTCGCGCCTGGGGGTGGCCGCGGTGGGGCGGTGGCGACCCGCGGCCAGGTAGCGCCCCCTGCTCTTCCTCCTCCTCCTCCTCCTCCTCCTCCTCCTCCTGGCCCCGCCGCTCCCCTCCCGCCCGCGCCGCGGCGGCGGGCGCGCGTCCGCTGAGTGACAGCGCCGGCAGCCAATGGGCGGCGGGGGCGGGCGGGAGGGGGCGGGGCGGAGCGGCCGGGGGCTCCCCGGGGGCCGCGGCCGGGAGCGCCCGGAGGGGAGGGGCTGAGGGGGGTGGGGGGGGATGCTGAGGTGGGGGGCTCCGCGCTGCTTCAGCAGCAGGAAGTGTGTAAAGTTGGGGATATTGGGGTAACATCATTAAAGTGGTCGTGGTGGGGTTTGTGTGGAGGCTTGTGTGGAGAGGCTGAACGTCAAAATGAGGGGTTTGGGGTCGGTAACCGAGTTATAACCGAGTTATAACCGAGTTATAGCGCCACAGATGAGATGGGGGGGCTCCAGAGGGAAGAAGGCAGCTGCTGGAGCTTGGTGTGGAGCCCCAAGCTTGTTCCCGGTGGTGGGAGGGCAGGTGGGAGCTCTTGGTGTGGATTCCCAGCTTGGCGTTGGGAACGTGCATCCGAACCCTGTGAACAACCAGTCTTCCTGAGAACGCCAAAACAAGCACAAACAGCTTTCCGTCCTCGATTTGGGTTGCAGCTTTCTGGCAGTTGGAGAAATCCGGGCTCTTTAACGGGGTAGGCTCGAGGTTCTCCTTACTGCAGCCTGGAGCTCTCCGAGCACTGGCCCTTCAGCCGCAGGGCTGAGGTAGGGACACGTCTGGTGACAAGGAGCCAGCACGTGCCCCCGCGCTGTCACAGAGCAAGTGCCAGGGCCACAAGCATCCCTGCTCAGCGTCTCTCCCGTTGTATCTCTGCTTCTTGAAGTATTTCACCGCCAGCACTTCTCTGCGGCGCTGCTGCCTGAAGCCCTGCGGTGCAGGGGGAAGTGGCGTGGAGCAGAAATGCCGTGCCGCTCGCTGCAGGCAGTTTTAGCGTCGTCGTCTTCTGCGCTGACCTCCTCTGCAGTAGTCGGGTGAAGAAGGCTTTAATTTCACAGGCGCTGACTCTTACGTTCTCCCGGTGACCTCCTTTCTGCTAGTGAGGGTTTTCGTAAATAGGAGAAAAAATAAAGCCTGTGGAGCAGTGGTCCTTCTAAAATGACACTGTGAAATGTTGCTTTTCGAGGATCCCTGCTAGCTGAACTTGCCGGTGAAAGTGGATTCCAGTAGCGAGTCCAACCTCCTGAAGAAAAAACAGAGGACAAGGCGAGAGGCAGGTTCTTGCCTTGCTGAGCAGCATCTTCAGAAAGAAGGTTAGGGAAGAGTGCTCCAGAAACAGAAAGTGTGCAGGTAGAAGAGGCTGAGCAAAGTGCTGTGGAAAACACAAAACAGTTGCATGGCTTCTCGGGAAGGTGAGGGCAGCCAAAGTAGATGGAGGAGTGACCTGGTGAGGAGGGCAGCACGAGCATCCCGTGTTAGAGATGTTTGTGTTTAAGATGCCCATCACACGGTTGGCAGGCACTGCACCAATACCAGAGAGGATTGGGAAGGCTGAGAGCAGGGAGGGAAGCAAACAGAGGGGAAGGGGTGCAAATTTTGAGTTGTCGTCTGGAGTTGGGTTTGCAGTGTGGATCTTTACACATCTAGTCGCTGTCCTTACCATGTGGGTTTCTGACTTAAGCTGGAGTTGGTGAGGGTAGCACTGGCGTTTTTCCTCCTTCCATCCCAAACTGCGGACATAATTGCAAGAACCTATATGTTTCTGCCGAGAGACAGTGAAGCAATTCAAAATATTGACACTTAAACCTTTGCCATTATGCTTCCTGGTCAATGCTGTGCTTGTGTGAGCAGGATAGCCTGCATCCCCGAGAGCTGTTGTTCAAAGGGCTCCTCTGTCCGCAACACGGGGAGGCAGCCGTCCAGCCTTTCATACTCGGAACAGCTTCTCTGCAGTCAGAAGGTAAAAACATTATACATATAATTTAAGGTTTAAGCTGCAATCTGCAGAATCTGGCAGCCTCTGGAGAGGGATCGGTAATGCATACTGCAGAGCAGCGCTTCAGCACAGTCCCTCGGTCGCAAACAGCCATCAATAAGGGGCCCATCAGAAGGGTATCGTTAGGGAAGTCGTCCCATTTGAGCACGCTGACAAATGGATTCGCTTCTTTGCCCCTTTTCTTTTTTTCCTCCTTAGGTTTTGGCTTTTCAGCCAGAATAGTTTTACTTCCGTGGTCTGATCAGTGAATCTATGGTTTCTGTTAGTGGGCAAATTGTACCATGTCCCACGCCGTGGTAGTTACTTGTAATTTCTGCATTTTCTGAAATGTGCTTTAGGCACTTGTATGAACGTGAGGATTACTGGTGAAAGAGTCTAAGCTGGTGGATCTTTAACATTGAAAGTGAGTGTCTTCCCTTTGAAGGCTTTATAAAAAGCGTAGGTGCCTCGGGTTGTGACTGTCAGAGGGAGGTGGAGGCAGGATTTCCAAAATTCAGCACCTCTCTCAGGAGCCTGCTCTCCAGTACTGTGCTGGCAGCGGTGCTGCAGGAAGGGTTAGCCTGAGGGGGCACTGAAATGAGCTTCAGCAGCGAGGCCAAGCACTGAACGTCAGGAGCACTGCATCTGTGGGCAGGGCACACCTGGGAGCAGTGCTCGCACCCTTCTCAGCGAGCATCGGAGCGCCGCAGGCACGCGGCTTCTGCTGGCTCCCAGCGAGCGCCGCTTCAGAGCGTATCATTTTGAAGGCCAGAAATTGGAGCTGATGTTGGCCAGGGACATCAGCTGTTTCCAGGCTGATAATCGACTTGAAATGTTGTCCAGCGCATTCCCACTCCGTACAACGAAGCTTTATTTTGAAAATGTGTCGTATAAACTATGTCATAATAAACTGAGTGCAGTGAAATGCAGTCCTACACCCGGAGCCTCAAATAGCTGAGCAGACGAGGTGTACATACTGTATTTCTTGAAAGGCGTCCTAAGTTTGGCTGGGGTTACCTTTTCACTCCGAGCACATCCCTCTTCACACCTTTCGTTTGGATAATCCTTGACTTGCTGATGTCTGTGTACTTGGGTTCTGTTCTTGTGGTGTTTGTTTTGATTTTTTTCTTTCCCAAGCTACTAGGGAATACTTCATTAGGTCTGCTGCTCTCCTTCAATTGGAGACATTTTGCTTGGAAAGGCTGATGCAGAAGTTAAATATGCCACAGTTTGCAGAGCCCAGTCTTTTCATTCAGAGGAAATTAATGAAAGCACTTGGAAGCTAAAGGAAAAATTGGTATTGATGACATACTTTTGTGAACAATAACATACATTCTGGAGCTGTGTACTTGCCTAGGCATGCAGCGTTTGGTTTTTTGATTTTTTTGGTGTTGATTTTTTATTTGAGCCCATATGAGGTCAATCAGCTTTTGAAGAACAGAAACAAATCACTTACTGAATTTTTGTTCCTCTTACAAAGAAAACTTTATGTACAGTGTATAAGTTGCATTGTTCCTTAACAATTTTTTCCTAAACCACATAGTGTCGGACTGACTGAAGAAGTCAGCAGTACCTGACTTCTTGTGCAGAACCTCGCCAGCCAGCGCTGCGTTGCTGTTGCAAGGCCAGCACCTCCAGAAAGGTGGATCCACTTACTGCGCCTCCTAGACGTGTTGAGAGCTAGCACCAACTAAATCAGATGTTAACGTGTGCTCCTTAGGGCTGAGGGACTTAACTGGTGGTTGTGTTTCCTTTTAACCAGGTCTCACTCGGTCGTCAGGTGTTGAAATGTTGCCTTTGAGCTCTCTTGGTGTAGTCAGTGAATTTTTCTAGCCTGCCAGTGACTCGCGTGCGTGAAGTCACTGTGACGTGCCCCCTCTTCTCTTTGGACAGGAATTGAATGAGCTCTTCTGTGCTTCTACTAATCAGCGTTTTAAAAATGCCCGTAGTGTAAAGGATTAGCTATTTCTGGGCAACCTGACACCTTTACCTCGAAGACACTTGACGGGGGGGTGTTGAAGGGGTAGACCAGAGGCGCTTGGCTCCTGCTGGAAACTTTTTGCTGCATTAGGATAGGCAGGATCTGAACACCCCTCGCTCTCTGTATAGAAGGGAATGTGCAGATCAAGTGGTGGTGGTGGTGAATTCAGCACACGGATATCTGATTTCTTGGCAGATCTGACACTGGGAGTATCTGGACTGCTGCCTGCACCAAGGAAAGGGGGTCGGTGTGACCCACGCTCAGCCAGTACTCATCCAAGCGGTGTAACATGAGCCCCTAACCTGTAGACAGATTTACCAGCCCTGAATAATGTCTGTTGTGCTGTGAGATCTTATCTCCCTAATGGCCTGCAAGAGGGTACGAAACGAGGAGAAATAAATATGGCTTTTGCTTTTGCTTTCTCTGCATTTTGTAGAGCCGTTGATTTGTGCTCATTCTGCTCCGTGTGTTCATTGGTGCCTTTCACGGGGTGAGTTAGTTTGTTAGTGTTTTAGAAACAGTTAAGAGTACGATTTATGGGTATCTTTTCACTTTCCTCCCGAGTAGCTTGGAGGGGATGGAGGCAGAAGGCTGAATCTGTACAAAGAAAGGAGCTGCTTGCTGTGTCCTGTAGCCCAAGGAGGGTGACACCACAATAACAAGCATCAAGGAGCTGTCATGTAACATCCTTCAACAAAAGTGATATGGTACCAAATGGACAAATGGCACCAGAGCAGGATTTCATATTGATGTTACATCCCAGCTGAATGGGGACCCCCCTTGCGGCTGAGACAGCCTGCCTGGAGGTGTTGATGCTCTCTGCTGCAGAGGCTTTGGCAGCTGGTTCCTGAAGCTTTTCCTTGGGGTGGTGGGAAGGAAGGGGTCTTACGCAGTGGCCAGATACCTA